TACCGCAGATTCTGAGCATGGTTTCCATAGCTGTGAGGTAGGCTCTTCCTGTGGGTACCACCAAGCAGGAGTGTAAGAGTTTCCCATACAGCCATTGAACGTTGAGGAGATCGTGTGATGTGGGAGCACCATTCCATGATCGCTGCAAGGTACTTCGTCTTCTTGGCCATTGATAGCTGGACTGTGAGTTTCACACCAGTTCCACATGAGCCCCAGGTATAATACCATGAAGGCAAACACTGTGTCTTTGGTGAGTTCCCAAGGAAAACCCAGAGGGACAGATACACGGTTGATATCTGCAAAGCTGAAGTTGAACTGGGAGTTGTGAAGTGAGCATGGGGAAGTGAGTGAGAGATCTCGTAGTGGGAAGGTGCAGTCCTCTGCATAGACATTGAAGGTGCTGTCTTCCTGCACAGTGCCTTTGAACCATAGTCTTCCTCCTGTCTGCAGTTGACCATTGGCTGCCAGCATCGTATGAGCATGCACTCGAAAGGCGTTGTAGCTGTCCAAATACTCATGTCGCTTGCAGAAGAACAAGTGGTCGTCCACCCATTTAACCATGGGACCAAGCCCTTCTGCACGTAGAATATCAATACCTGTGTCAGCCACGTGTCCGTAGATGCCAGCAGAAGGTCCCATACCAAAGGAAATGCAAGTATCCATGCAGAAAACCTCCCCCTGGTAACTGTGTAACCATGGCTGCCCATTGTTACGGTGAACTGTAGGTCGACTAGGATAGGCGCGATGATAGGTACTCGATAGAGTATGCCTAAGGCTGGATCGTGTCCTCACAAATGTAAGGTTCTTAAGACAAGTCAAAGAGAGTGTCTCTGGCTTGAATATCAATATCAGACGACTTAGGATTGGGGGTCCTAAGCGAAGGATAATGCAGGTAAAACCTAGTAGATTAAAGTGAAGTCCTATCTAGATACATGACCGGTTTATATAGACGTAGGTACGTTTAGGGCAGATTTACATACATCATCAGTCGAGTCAGAGATAAGAAACATGAGTCAGCCGGGGTGACGTCATGGGTGAGTCAGAGATAAGAAATATGAGTCAGCTAGTGACGGCATATGGCGATCATGCTGTAATACAGATATAGAAAGGACACTAGCCTAGTGATGGCACGGTTAGGTGCGGTCATGACGTAGTACACGAGTAACAATAGGAGAAAAGAAATAGGGGGGCAACCATGACTGTAACACCCATTGTGAATGATGCAGGGGAACTGTTCTGTATGCTTCTGCAATACCGTGGGTGGCTGCTTGAGACCCCAGTGGTAGACTCTGTATGATGGTGCACACCGTGTCGAAGGTGCCCCATGTGCAAGGGAAGTCATCTGAGTTGATGCTCGAGTTGATAGATGGGTTGGTGTACTCTGTTGATATGGCATGGGGAATGAAAAATTTGTATGACATGGAACTTGCCAGGTTTCCCTGGTTTTGGAATGATGGAGATGGGAGAAGTCTGGAACAGGCCAAGTAGGGATAGTAGCTCTTGCTGGGAGAAAGGGCTGATGTAATGCCCGGGTGTTAAGTTCTCAGTTGAGAATAGTTTCAAATGCGCTAAGGAATATACTGGAAGAAGGGTTATAGGTGGAGTCTGTATGGTGTGAATGCGGGGAATGTTGAGAACAAAGCCATGTTGGAGTCCTTTGAGGCAGATTTGGATATTTGGCAAGAAGATTGAATGCATGCAGTTTTCATTCCCAGATGTCGAACTTATATGGTGTGGTTGGATGCAATCGCCTGAGCTTGAGGGCAGTTCTGAGCTCTGTGGGTGGTAGCCAGGCAACCTGAGCAGACGTGTCTCTCATTGTGGAGGAGCTGGAGCAACTGCCGACCATTGCCAGTCAATGCATAATGGTTGTCTGAGCTTCGCAGGAGTAATTGTCTTGTTGTTGTGGGTGGCAACCATGGGGAAGGCGCTGTCCCAGAGTCATTCAGCAGTGCATTCAATGAAGCTGTGTGAGTTTCTCCCCAGGCAGGTGGCACACACTGCTGGGGAGCGAGTGCTGTGTGCACTGCCTTGAAAACCAAGCAGGTACCTGTTGAAATGCGAGTGTTGTGTGGGGCAGAGGACTTCTTTGTTGGGGATGCTGACCATCTTTTGTGATTCGGGGAGACAGTGCTTAGAATGTCTTCCGCACAAGTTGGAAGAGGGTTCAACTGGCCCATTGCGAGAGCTTGAGTGTTGACTCTTTTGCTGCAATGGACCAAAGGTGAAGGCAAACACAACCACAACCACAACCACAGAAAAGCAGGTGAACGCAAGAACGAAGGGGAAGGCAAATGCAGAGTGACACGACCAATTGAGTAACAAGATGGGAGCGGATGAGTGAGCATGTGATGATAAAGAGCGTTGGTTAGAGGAGGGAAAGAAAAGATTGGTCAGTAAGGGTCAATGTAGGGACATTGATGCACTACATACCTTGAAGTCATTACTTAAATCTTGTTTGTTTTGGTCATCTCTATAGACTCTGTCCACCATGCATGTGATCACTGTCTCATTGATGATGGATATGTCCCAAGCATTTGCTGGAATGGGAATCACATTGTGCCAAGCCCGACATTGTTCTTCCTGGAATAACATCAGACCTTTGTGTGCTGACTTGTCCCTCGAGTTCCAGTGCCTATGGATCATGATTGCTCCCCAGAAGCAGGCTAGCATTAGGACTCTTTGCTTGGGCCAACCCTTCTCTTCAAGAGAGTTGATCATGTGTGGGACTGCTTGTGCGAAGTCTACTGTGGTGAGATTGCGATCTGGTACTACGCTGGTTGAGGGCCTCATGGCTGCCACGCTGACCCAAGCTGTGGACCTGTCTTCTCCCATGGTGGGCACCATTCCATCATTGTCCTTGGTGCAATAGTTGGTGAGAGCGTCATCTAGCCCGTCATTGGTCCAGTAGTATATCTCTACATACAGACCTTTGTTGAGTTTCTGCATGGTGAAATCTGATACTAGTATCTCATCTTCTGCTGCTGTAGGGCGGGGGACGTTCAGGGAGTACATGGTACTTGCTGCAGTTCTTCTTCTTTTCCTCAGCTAGCGCAATTTCTTCTTCAAGCCGACAGCTTGGACTTGACGTTCTTCTTCTTCAGCCAAACGTTTCTGTTCAGTGCATAGGTGTTCATCCTCAGCTACTTGTAGTTGCCACTGTGCACAGAGGGTGTCGTTAGTGGTTTCCTAGATGGTGTGGAGACCGACTGCCGCTTGGGCTTCTGTGGTGGTAGCTGTCATGAAAACAGTTCAACTGGCACAATACCTTTCATCCATGAAATCAGGGCACACATTAGTGCTGGGGTCACAGGGTAGTCTGTTCATTCAGTTGAAATCATCAGATTTTGTGAATGAGAAGTGGCTTCGGAAGATGCTTTGAAATAGGTAGATCAGATGGACTTCCGAGCCGCAAGTACTATCGATGATATCGAGAATCGATAGGTGTAAAGAGAAGAAGGCATGAGTTACACTTTGCTCAAAAAGGACATAGACCTTATTCTGACCACGTGCTCATTCTTCGTACTTAGTAAGAATGCAATACATGATGGTCAATTTGTGATGTATGTATGTGGCTATTAATCTATTATTTATTTGTTTTGTTCTTTTCTCAAAATGTCGCTACTGTCAACCTTTTGCAAACAGCTGTAATCGATAACTTACTAACTTGAACGCACTGTTTTAAGTTTGGAAACTTTGTGTGCCCTCGACGCTGTTCTACTCCTGTAATCACGTTTATATAATTCAGCCCTGTATATCATGACCCACAACTGCATTAACTGGGATGCCACACCACTACGTTTCCTGATGATATCGTATGCTAACAAAAAGATGCTGACACGGAAGGGTCCAGCATCCAAAGTTCGTGAGTTCAAAGTGCGTGTCATGTTAATCTCTCTTGTTGTGAGTTTTAAATCATTTTGTGGTCATATCAGTCCCTCCAATCCTTTGCGCACCGGAAATTTGCTATTGGAGACCGCCCACCCTCATCCCTGCGCTTCCGAACGACCTGCAATCTTAGCTCCATGCCTTGCAAAGACGACTCAGCCTTTGAGGTCGATGAAGAGGCATGGGAAGAAGAGGGCTTAATGGATCTTGTCTGCTGTCTGGAGGTGTACTTGGAGGAGGTCATACCCGGTCCATCCGGCGAAGAGACATTACAAACTCGTTGAAGAGGAATATGAAGATGCTCGGACGCACAAGCAAGCCCGAGACTCTGACGAACAGGAAAATAGAGGGGGAGAACACAGTGATATAGCAGAGGTCAATAAAAATGTCGAGGAGGTCGAAGCACAGGACGAAGACGAGGCGGAGAAAGGGCAGGATAAAGAGGAGCAGGAGGAGGAAGAGGAAGAGCAGGAGGAGGACGAGCAGACGGAGGAGAGGGAGGAAAGTACTGTGTGGACTAGGCCATTCGGTCGCCGACGACGGGTCATTGTGTCTGATGAAGAAGATAGCCCAAAGGCGCTTGACCGTAGCTCAAGACTGGCTGCAGACTTGCAGCAGATACAGAAAGCTCCTGTCGTTGGTGACCCTCAGCCCTTGGCACCCAGTGCTAAGAACCGAACGATTGCTGGTCGTACACGAAACATGCCGCATGTCCCTGGTGAGTCACTCCCGTCTGCTGCACAGGTATGTGATAACGAAATATTTAGACACAGAACAACCGATTAAGAAGGAAAACGAAACTCCTCCTGCGTATCGCGTACGAGTGTCGTCGGTCGCTGGAAGCTCCCAAGAAGGCCGATCCCTCTTCGGAGTACACGAACCACCAGGTAGTGCATCTCCTTTGTCATTTGATATCTTACACATCAACATTAGGCCGACCTATCAAACAAGAGCAAAATTCAAGTTCTGCAGAGCGGACGGTGTCTCAGCCTCAAGCGACTCAGGAATGTACGTTATTTGTACAATCATCCATCTCTGCCATGATTGCTCACACCGAACCAGCGCCTGAGCTTGCACACACCAAACTCGTCATTAGCATCCAGCACAAACCCTCCGCGCAGCATGCACAGTTCAGCACGAAGCCTCATACACGAATGGGCAAAGTTCTCACTGGTGCATGCAAGAGCTTCCGCTTGGACGTCAACGTGTCAGTGCCTTTGACGTTTGTGTTGGGCGTTCCTTGTCTCATACGTTCACTCTGCAGAGCGCAACTCTACTTAGTCGTGGTAACGCAAAATGATCAGGGCTTGAAGGAGGAAGATTATTTCTTGTGCGACCGAAATGAGACAGTGGAAGCCGCTGTCGTGGGCGTGGAAGGGAGGGCAGAGTTCATGATTCGCATGCCTGAAGATCCTGCAACGTAGGATTGTAGAAAGCCAGTGCTGTGCAATGAGTCTGTTCGTCTGCCTGACCCTTTCTATGCACAAAATTGTAATTGGGTCTCACAGCATGATACGCATATACTCACAACCGCAATATGCCTCTGATTCAGATACATTTTGATCATCACAGGATCAGTACCACGCCTGGACCGTCGCAATGTTAGTGATGGGGTTGGCCCGTGACCCAACGAACTTCCGAGCTCGAGTGAGTTGTGTCGGTCTCCTATCTCACTTAATCTATGAAGGCAAAGCAAAAATCAAGTCCAAGATATGAGCGCTGGTTAGCAGGACCGAGCTTGGCAGCACACAATTCCAGTTTCACGCCCCGCGCTGCTCACCCCAGGTATGGTCCATGACTGTAGTCCCCCGTACTCGGGCCATTCAAGCGGAAAGGTGAGGCATCGACTGCCTTCCTTCTTGAATGGTTTGAGTATGGCCCTGCCAGTCATTCTTTCTTGATAGTTCCATCCGTATTCCGTATCATGACCACGTTGACATTACAATAATAGTCTGGAATCCGAATAGATGACTGCAAAATGGCAAGAGCCGGGGATGTGGTCTACCAGGTGGGGATTTTGGTGTTATCATCAGCCTGCAACATGCATTAATAGTCTCACACCAGGTCGTCGTGGGCAAAGGGGAGTACTAGTGGTGTATGATTGAGTAAGGCCTGACGTGTGAACAAGGCATTGTATTACGTGCCTACACTCTGTGTAAGGGTCTACACACTTGATGAATCCCTTCCGTATTTGACTGGCTGAGTGTACGTGCAGTCATCATTCTTCCAGTGGCTCGTGGCAATTGCGACGATTTTGTATACAATAACAGGGAAAATAGTCTCGTCGCAACAACAATCGCAGTCACAATCCATACCATCCAAGTTACACCTTACTGACGCAGTACTTAAACGAAAGATACCGATATCGATTTGCCTACTTTTTCTTGGACTTGCCACCCCTCGAAGAACTTTGTCCGAAGAGACTCGATCCCGCACCCTGTCTTTCTTCTTCTTGGGGTTTGGCACCTCTCGAAGCACTTTGTCCGAAGATACTAACAGACACTCCCGCTCCACTTTGTCCGAAGACACTAACAGGCACTCCCGCTCCACTTTGTCCGAAGACACTAACAGGTGCTGCCGCTCCGCTTTGTCCGAAGATACTAACAGGCGCTCCCGCTCCACTCTGTCCGAAGGCTCCAGGTTGAGGTGACGGTTCCTTCTCTGTCGGCGAATTTGCAAGCGCAAGCGCTCGAGGATGGCACTGCAGCAGGAATTTTTGGTACAAATCAATGATAATATCTGCACCATGAGGTAACTGCGAATCAACAATCCTCCTGACCAGCGCCGGGATATTCTGGATAACAGGGACAGACGCGATGTGCTGGATTAGGACTTGTACCTGCATTTGCAGGATTGCAGGATACCTGATATCGCGTGAGCTTGGTAAACGGCCTGCTCGAGGAAACGACCAACTTGGATGTAAATGAAGAGGAAAGCTCTTGGAGAATGTTTTCTGCGTTCAAACTATCGCGTATTGCACGGAAAGCTTGGTCACGAACACTATCGAGTCGAACCTGACCGTTGTGTATTAGGGTATCTGGGGAGCACAAGGCAAGTTTTCTCGAACCTTGCACCCTAAACGATACATGGACTTTGGTGAGCAAGGCCACAACGTGCTAGGGTTAGGGCCTTCCACATCAGCTCTGGGCTGTCCCTGAGACTTGAGTGGGGAAAAGACGATCTTGTTCGTGTACAGATAAAGCAAGAGCGCTTTCCACCTGACACATAAATCAAAGGCCTGCTACCATTATGATGATTTGTGACTTACGTCCTGAAAGCCGTGTCTCGAACCAGTATGTTCCGGCAGTTGACATCTGGTACCTTATGTTGAATTAGGGGAGAGGTGATAGGCGTTACTGCTTGTGGCGGGATAAGATCACGGACTATTGAGTCAACTTTGCACCTACCATCCGCCACGACAAGTAAATCATCGTCATTTCCATCTAATTCACTCGTGTTTCCTTGCAAGAGACATCAGAACTTAGGTCGCTAATCTTCTTTTGAATCACTTACCCTCGGGGGTGGCGGTTTCGCTCCTGACCGGCGTTTGACTAGCTTTTTCAACATCTTCATCTTCAAGATCACTGTCAGAAGCGTATCCATAATCATCAAACCCCATGCCATCCTCGAACGCCGAGTCATCATCAAAGTCGACAAACGTAGCATCAGGTGGTCCCGTTCTCGACAATACTGTCAAACTCAGATCGTAAGCGAGCTCACCACCTTCACATGTAAAAAATAACTTGCGCTCAGCAAAAAAATCAGAGCGCGCAGTCAGGACAACATCATTGGCCGACAAAGCCTGTACTTGGGAGACTTTACGTGAATGTGCCGAACAGCCTGAAAATAAGTGGAACTTCGTATCAACGAGCTCTCGGCCGAGTATTGATTTCATCAGGAGCGCTTCAACGAGCGCTTGATGGTCCGACATCGTGGATACGGTACTGAAGAGTTATGGGCTCGATTCTACATGTGCAGGAAACTGATGGTTTTATACTCACTTTGGGCGTTAATGGATGTGTGTGCATGGC